TCAACCCTTTTTCTTTGCATTTTATTTTTCGTCTCCCAGTAACGTTAGTAGAATTATTCTTTTATTTAAACAAAAATTTTTGGACGTGTTTTTTTTTAAGACATTGTATTTATAATTATAGATAGTTTGTAGTTTTACAATTTAGTCCAGCTAAGATTCAAAAAATTGGGGCATAAAGTCCTTGGAACCCCTTTTAATTCTTTGTCTTTAAGATTATTAGCCTTTCTGCATATAATTTATGTACTTTAATTCGCAAATTTCATATTATTATTGTAATTGATCAAAAATAGATGAAATTTCATCGCGAGTCATGTACCCATTTCTATTTCCATACCCTACACTTGTTAGTATCATACTAATATAAATATAATTCACTTAGATCCATAGAGGTAAGAAAATTTTCACTCAAGATGAAATTCATGTATGCTTTGGATAGAATTTTTTCACCTCCATGAGTCCAAATAAATAGTATTTATGCCAATATTACACAAACAAAGATAGGATAACAGAATAAAAATGGTCACATAACTCACGTGATGAAATTCTATTTATTTTAAATCAATTACATAAATAACATAAAGTTAATGGGTTAAAGTGTGCAAGGTGTATATTAAGAGGCCAATGGCCTCGATGACAAAGAATTAGTGAGGTTCCACGGGTTAAGCCAAAAACTAGTACCATTAAATTTAGGAGAATTTATTCCCATCCTAAGGGCTCTTCCCATTGATGATTAATTTTGTGTAGTTTAAACTATACAAAATATTTTCAATATTATTCCTTACATTTAATTATTAAGATATCTTAATTTGCCCAATCCCCTAAAACATTATAGAAATCTCCTGAACAAGTCCGATCCCAAATAAAATCAAATTACATTTTTCCAGGGAATGCAATCTGGCCATCTAGAATCAGTTGCAAGAACCTCCAAACATATTCTTACCTCCCACCGCATTCCCTAACTCAGCCCACCGGCACTTGCCCGCAAACGTTTCTGATCCCAGCATCCATACTTCCAGAATTTGATTTCACTCAACCCTCCTTTGGCTTCCACACTGACAAAAGAACTACTGCCTGGACATAGGCGATTCTGTCAACCCGTTCACGATTAGTATAATGCTATCTTTGTTCAAATGAGACAATTTGAACAATGATAGCAACACAGAAGAAGATACTTGCAGGCAAGATGCTATCTCGTCTTAAACTAAACCATGGTATAAGGGTAGTTTTGAAGAAGAGAGATCTCATCCACAGTACATGTATAAAAAGCAGGGGATTAAAAAGAGAGTAATAAGTTTGAGGACATCTATAGACAAGAAATTATACGCAGAACCAGATAATGGCATGTCTTACAAATAGGAAACTTAATTAACTGAAACAACAATAGAAAATCTATCATAGAAGGAAGATCAAGAAAACCAGACAACGACAACATTGCATTTTTTTGAGACTTTTGGTAATGATAGTAACTTTTTAGTGATCTCCAATACTTGTTTCTTATATTTTCCCAAAATATGAATCTTCATGCTCTCTAGAACTCTTGCATTTTTCAGCAAATACTTGACAAATTCCATTTCGTGTTCATTTCCATCAAAATTTAACATTTCAATGGTCTTCAGGCTAGCTGACAAACAACTGGCTCTAGATTCCTCTAGTTGGTACCAGGCAGCAGGACTCCAATTTCTACCATCAAAGTGCTGATGATAAAACAAAGAATTAAGATCAGTATATAATTTCTGCTCCACATGGGCACAATGGTGATTTCATTTGATTTCATACCTCAAAGACAAGGGTTTCTAAAGATTCACAACGTGTAAGTAAATATGGTAATTGTGTCAAGCACAAGTCCAAGCACCACCAAATTGCCAAATGAGTCACATTTTGAAATGTAGGGATGGGAACACTGTAGAGAATAAGATCCTGTAAAAAGAAAGTTGTAGTTCACTGCATGATTTAGGTTGTAGTAAAATCACTAAACAAAGAAAGTAGGCAATTCATAATTGAATGTTCCTCTTTCGAGTGAGTGGTGGTCACACAACTTACTGCTAGAGCTCGACCAGAAATACCAAGTTTCTGAATGTTGCATATCCCTCTCAATAAATCAGTTGCAGCCTCAATGTAATTGCTAGGATTGCCACCACCTTGTTGAAAATCAATTCTGGCTTCATCAAGGGACTGGATATTTACACATGCATGAGAAGTTAAACAAGAGATACTGTAATCCAAGTCGACAAGGCTTGGGGCATTAATCACAATCTCTAAACCGCAAGACCGCCCCTTTGGGCGGTGTTCTATGTGCAGCCTCTTGAGTGTAGGATTAGAAATACCAAGTTTGCAGTGATCCATGCGCAACCTCTTGGGTGTAGGATTACAAATACCTAGTTTCCAGATATTGCCAATAAAACGGTAGTGCAAATCCTCAAGAACGGGGCAGTTAGACAGTAGCCTACTCCAAGAGTCATCATTTGAAAATGCAATATTACACAGGCGAAGAACCTTGAGACTTGGGAGACAAACTTTGGAAGGAACTTTTAAACCAGACTCACCTGAGTCCATGCGCCAGACATCAGACTCAAAGTGCACATTCAAGTCCTCAGACTCAGAGTCCATGTCCAACTCAGAGTCATCGGCCTTGGAGTCATTATCCGATTTCAAGTCACAACGATGTAAAACGAACAATTTCAGAACCACCAATGTCTTAAAGGTAAAGAAACCAGTCGGCAACAGCAGTTCTTTATCATCACTAAGCTCTATAAATAAATCAAGCTCTCGAATACCATGCCAAATTAAGGCACTAATCCACTCTTTTAGATGCAAAGGATCAAGAAATCCTGAAATTGAGGTAGACCATTTGAGATGAAACTTATGGACAGAACTTCTTTTACGGAAGAAGAATAGTCTATCCACAAATCTCCTCAAACAAAACTTATTGGCCTTCATTTGAGCTCCGACATGAAAATCAAGATCAAGATTAGAAACTGAAACATAAAGATACCTCCACCTGGTTGAGAGTACAGAGGTACGAACAACATCTCTCATGGGAAGGAATGAGAGAATGTGCAAAAGAAGTTCATCGGTTAATCGACTGATTTTGTCAATGCTGCTTTCAGCCATCAAGGAAAACAACAATTTCACTTCTACAAAACCCGTTCTTTTTCTGTCTCCCTCTTCAACATAAAGAAACCACAAGATAACAACAAACCCCTAACAGAAAAATCCCTCTTTCAGCCATAAGGAAAGCAGCAGTTTTACTTCCACAAAACACTTAAGAAAAATACCCTTCTCTTTTAATCTCGCCCTGCAACATGAAGAACCAGTAGGCATTAAAAAACACCCTTTGATTTTTGTGGACTGAATTGCTAAAGAAAAGGACGGTTTCATGTTAAATACAAGGGGGAAAGTGCAGAATCGAACATCAACTGTACTTTCTTTTGTTCTATGTTTGATTCCGACTGAATGCTCCGATGATGGCAGCAAATTTGCATTGAATGCGTTGGCTTTGAGATGGTAACGGGAGGTTTTCTGGCTTTCTGCACCGCAATAGATTACACTAACCTAGGGTTTGCAATTTATAGTCTTTTTTTTTTTTTTTTTTTGCACCGCAATAGATTACACTAACCTAGGGTTTGCAATTTATAGTCTTTTTTTTTTTTTTTTTTTTGAAAGAAACAAATTTTTGGTTGAGTTCTGGCTTGGGTCTATGTGGAGCAGTGGAGGGGGTGTTCATAATCATATTGGATATTACTAA